ATAACACATTGTGACTCAGATCTGTGCCAAGCATTTCAACTATTTTTTTTCTCATGAGTTTGGTACTATTACAATCCCCATTTTACTTACGAGAAAACTGAGAATCATTGAAGTTAAATGACTTACTGAAGACCACACAACTACTGAGATCCAGAGTCAGAACCAGAACCCAGATTCACCTGACTCCAAATCCTGTGCTCAGAGCCTTTACACTCTACTCCACTGCCCCCAAGGTTTCTATGCTTAGAGAGCTTAAGATAATGTTAGGTATGTAGACATGTTCAATAAATATTGACAAGTTGAAAATATCTGGATACTAGCACACAATAGTGCATTATTTCAGTATATGCTATAAAAGAAAGTTCAATATTATAACTGTAAAATTAAAGCACCCAAGGCATCACTCCACCTCATAGTATATTATCTTGCCTTAGAATAGCCTCTGTCGGGGAAGCCTATAATGATAATTGCAGCAAATACAAGTTTCTTACCTAATGTCCATTCTCACCTTCTTTCTTCTCACAGAACCCTGACCTTGTTCATAACAAATACATACCCAGTTAAAAATACTCATCTGATTCTCTGGTATCCAGAGGTGGTCATGAAACCCAGTACTAGCCAACGATACAAGACTTCTGGGTACGACTTACAGAAAAGCTATTGTTTTCCTAATATAAAAAATGGCAGACTTTGCTGGTATATCCTTTTACTTTCATCCTTCCTCCCTTCTTCCCTGAAACATGGACACAACACATAAAGGAGGAGCGCCACCCCATAACCACAAGGACAAAATCACACCTTCAGGAAGAGGGGAAGAAAGAAGCCAGAAAGAGCATGAGTTCTGCTGCTTGTTTCTGAGCTGTCTGTTGAGAAACATAAATCCCTATTTATTAATATAATCTGGTAAATTTTCCATTACATATATCCAGGTGCAATTCTAGTGCAATTTTACAGTAATTGATAATTCTAAATTATCAACATTAAGTAAAATAAGAGTCTAATTAATGTAAATTACAGTGTCTATGGTATTATCACGGCTCTATCTTGAACCATTGAATTTTTAGATACTTTGAATCATTCATTCCCTAGCTTTGCACTAAACTCTATTGACCTTTTCTTTAAAGATACTATAAAAATTCAGGGAAATAAATCGATGAGTAATATAACAATTATTTACCAAAGAGAAATTTTTCCAAAATAGGTATGGGTGTCAAAAATCACACGCAAGTTTTATTTTTCTTTGTTTCCTGATTCTAGAGCCTTTTGACCAACAAACCTTAGTCCACTGATTTGCCCCTAATAGGTTACAGGTGTGCCAAGCTGCTTCCCCACTTCAGTTCACAGGTCAACCGGGTAGTGTCTGGAGCAGCCAGAGCTCCCAGGGCTGGTTGCCTCTGACCACAGCGGTCCTGTCCACTTACCTCAGTATACTATGCAAACACTCTCACTGTCTATGCGTAGCACAATGTGAAAAAGGTTGGGAAGCACTACCCTATGTGACAACTAGATGCTATCAAAATAATAACAGCAATGCAAAAAAAATTACCTGTTTACAATACTGTATGGACGAAAAGTTAGCTCACACATACAATATCATTTTATTCTCAGCAAATCATGAGTGTTCAATATGGCACACTCATGTTTATTATCACGGTTCAAAGACGGGTGATTTTCCCACTAACACACACTGCTAAGAAATGGCAAAGCCAGGTCTTTTGAATCAAGGATTTCTGCTTTTAAGCCCTATGCTTTTGCTGAATACACCTCCCTGTACGACGACATTCCAAGTTTGCACAGATCTTTAAAATTAGCGTTTTGATTTCATTCTCTAAAGAAAGTTCAAATGGTTTTACTTTGTATTCTCTTGTGACTGCCATGCAAACACTAACATATATGGAAACTGATACTCTCTTTGAACTTAGCAAGACTGAGAAAGCACAACACGAATCGACATATTTAGGCCATACCAATTTTCTTTTTACAGCTCCCATCCCCGACACTCAGAGAGCCAACCCTTGTTATTTTGTGTGAGCAGAAGAGAGGTTTTGCCCATCACTCTCTCCAGAAGTATCTATTAAAAAGAAAATAGTATGCTGCCATTTGCCATGCTTAAGAGTTATTTTCTTTTGCCAGTCACAATTTCTCATTGTCCTTTCCATAAAAGGGAAAAATAGGGAGAGAAATGAAAGAAATTGTCAAAAGTAAATTACATACTTAGCATATAAAAGGAAATATGAATTTTAAACACAGGGCAATTATTGTCAAGAGATATTATTGAAATTTTAAAAATTTAAGTTTGCTACTCCTGTTTTAGAAAGATAGAAAACCAAAAGATTTCAATGGCTGGAAATTATATTTTAATTTCTTTATAGCAATGCAGAAACAAAGAGGACACATGCAAAAAAAATAGTGAGGTGTAGGAAAACATCTGCAAGTAGCTATTATAGACAGATTAAAAAGAATAGGCAATATCTAAAATAGTAACCAAATATTAATTTTCTCTTCAGAAAATAAGAACATGATTGAATGGTTGAGCACGCATCGCATAAAATACGTGTAAGCAAGCATAAGTTTACAGAATATAATTAATGCAGTGGTTATGGAAATGAGCTTGTGGCCAGTTTAGAATCTCATGCTTAAAGACATGGGATCCAGATCCAGAACACCTGGGTTCAAATCCTGGTTCTATCATTTAGCATTTGGGTGATGAGAACATGCTTAAGTTTTTAGTACAGAAAAACTGTTGCTCTCTTGATCCTATCAACAGTTAAGATGGTAAAACTACAGCATTATATAAAAAGCAGAATTCTAATATTAATTAATTTCTTGTTTTACTTTTTAACCAAATTTTCATCAACCACAAAATTTGCACAAGGCATAAAATAAATTCTGCCACTGAGTAACAAGTAAGCCAAGACTATGAATTGGAATAACATAAGTGAAACACCGTGGGCAAGTTCATGGTAACAGTTGGACTAACCTACTTCCACCACAGGCTAAGGACATTTGGAAAGTAATTAAATTCTTCCAATACATACTGGGATATCCCATGCTATTCCACAAGATGGAGTTACCACTGCCCAACACTGTCCAACTACTTTTTATCCCAAGATGCAAATTAAACATTCTCCTCAGTGGCTAACTGTAAACATAAACCCTACTTCCCAGGACATTTGACTTTACAACATACTTAATAAAGGGAATGTCCATACTGGCCAAGTGAGTCTATCTTGAGAAATAAAGTCTTTCTGGTGTCCACACAGGTTGGTCAATGCATGTGCGTTCAGGGTAAGTTCACTTATGTCAGATTTAAGCAGCACATCTTCTCCACCATGTTTAAACTGTACATCCAAAGTTAATCTAGGTAGGAATGCACACTTATTATTACAAAATAAAATGTGATTAAAATTTTAAAATTTCCACAAATTTTTAACTTTCAACTGCTAAACTTACAAATTTTCCTAATATAAATATGAATGTACAGAAGTGTTTTTAAATGTGAAGTCACATTTTAATAGCAAGAAAAAGCAATATCCTGAGCAATCATAAACAGAGAAACTAATAAAGAATGAAATGCTAGGTCAATAAACACCTTGACTAAATATTAAATGAATACTCTAACGGCATGACTTCAATGCCCAAAATAATATAGTAACATACTAATGTTACAGAAAAGCTATCCAAATAACCTCAGCTAAACACACTGTCTTTGTTGTCTGTTTCTGAAAGTATGCATTGGAAGAATAACTTTCAATTAAATTCTCCTAGTGTTCAAATTTACTTCCATCAAATAACTGTTCTAAGCACTGTAGAAACCGTGGTAAACCTAAGTCAATATTCATTTATAGCCAAACAGACACATTGATCACACATAGTACTGTTCCTAAATGAAATGGGAACAAATTCTACAAGTTTTCCTTAAGTAGATTTTAAGTTGGCAAACAGGTTCTATACTAAGCAAGGAAATGTTTCATTTCTATGGAAACTTCATTCTGTTTCCACTTCATCAGGGTTTCACTTTCTACAACCAAACATAGGAAAGGTCAGCGGGGGCACAAAGGAGGTACACGTGCATGGGACACTCAGGTTGACAGCCACACAGCCTACTTCTGAGCCATCTGGATATTGTCCCCAGAGAGGCACAACAGGCGACAGGAGGGAAAGCTGGAAGATGTAGAGTCTGTCTCGGTTAAGCCTTCCTGAACGGAGAGGTCTACACGCGCCCATTCATGAATGAAGGGAAACTTGGTAGGTTTTTAAAGTACTTAAGTTTTATGCGTAAGTCTTAATAACTTCTCCCTCTCAAAGTGACCCAGACTCAGTCCATACTAATGGAAATAAGCTTTAAACAACATGTGCATGACAATATTGAATTTGATGCAGAATAACACAAATGACTATCTCCATGAGTTATATCACAGTTCTGACTAGAAGTGAAAACAGCTAGATTTTATGAGATTTCATTATATATTTCCACCAAAATAGCATAGCCTACTTTACTGGGATATTTGGATATTATTTTGGATACTACCAATTAATTCAGAATCAAAGTGAAATATGGGAAGTCAAAATAGAAAACTACTCTTGAAAGTGGCAATTTTCAATCCTATAACATTATGTAACATCTTAGGGAACCTTTTTAAAGTTTGGAACGACAGTCTCAGAGGGAATATGTCAACAGAACCCATTTGAATAGGATGCACTACTCTTTATTTTTCCTTAAAGATATTATGCCTTACGAGTATTTTGCTATTTTACGAGGCTTATACTCTAAGGAATATGAATTCTGACATGCAACTAGAATGCCACTTCACTACCACAACTGGAAAAAAAGAATACCGCCATGAAAACCTCCAATGCCAAAGGCTGACTAGCATTCATCAGGCCTCATGAAATTCCAAACAGCTCCAGTGAAGATGGTTGCCTCCTCCTCCTGAAATAGCCTTTACTTTTAAACCTGTTTTCCGTATCAGTGACGTTTATCTTTGTTAAACACTCACCTGTGATTTTTTGCAGCAAAGGTGACAGTTCAGACTCCTCACAAAATACCTGAGCCAATGTTTTCTTCACGTTTTCTTCAGCTTCACCCAGGTTTTTGTCCGCTGTGAACTCTCCACTGACAGAATAAATATATATCAGCAGGATCAACAGCTCTTCAGGGCAGTAGTCATCCTTGGTCCTCTGGTGTGAAGGCTTAATCATGGGTAGCAGCTGACTCAACACAACAGACATTGTCGACTCCCCAACGCTCTGAAATAAAAGGCGGGAATATGAAAACATGTCGATCTTGTGCAAAGACATAATTTATGCACTACGTCAGTCCAAAGATAGCTTGCAAACAAGTCTGTGATGTTCACTGACTAGATCACTTGTTATTTGTTTCTTGTCCTAGAGAGAACACTGCCAGAGGTTGAGCATTAGAGTATTTTTTTGAAAGATCTAATTTATGAAACGGCTAGTCAAGTTGTAGACCCTTTTTTATTATCTTACATGTTGCTTAAACAAATAAGACAACTCTACTTTTAAAAATAAAAATATAAGTACTTCACACACTACAAATTTTAAATAAAAATTATATATTTGTAAAGTAATATGATTAAAAATAAAAACATGCCAGCATCTATACATCCAAATGAATGCTGACACTCCTTCAGAGAAATTACCTTGAATTTTATAGCATATTCTTTTTAATATTCTCTTTATTGGCAAATATTAGTCAAAATAAGTTTTCTTTATAACAACAAAAAATTTTCTGCTACTCTGGTAACTAGAATAGGGGATCAAACTGGTAATGTCACTTAGGGTTCAAGATATCTTTGGGTGAGCCTAAAGGTAATTCACCTTAAAATTTTCAAAACTTTTTGCTTTTAGGTCTTCCACCAATTTCTCGAGCGACATTTAGCAGAGATTTCAAAATGCCTTGCATGCGATAACAGTATTGCATTACTGGAGTAACTGCATGACTTCCAAGGAATTAAACACATTTCTAGTACAAGTTCTGAGATTTTTGGTGAGTAGATAAATCCCCATTTTAAATAATGCGATTTAATTTCATCTATAATATAAAATAATCCTATAAAATAAAACTCAACTATCTGCATTAAAATCAGGAGCCAAATGATCACAACTTGCAACTTTCACATCGTTCATTCAGAAGTGCTCATTGAGCATCTACCATGTTCTGGGTACCATTCTGGGTCTGGGGATACAGCAGTGAACAAAATACATCCCTGCTCTCAGAGACCTTATGCACTAGTTTGGGGAAATAGACAATTAAAAAGCTAAAGAAGTAAAATACATAGTATATTAGATGGTGGTAAGTCCTATGGAGAAAAACAAAGCAGGAAAGGAAGACAGGGCTTTAGGGTGTGCATGTGTGTGGATATGCACAATTTTAAAGAGGAAAAGCCATTTTAAGAAGGGAGTACTGGAATAAAGAAAGACCTATAGAAACTCTTCTTCTGAAAGAAGTTGATAGCAAGCAGCTGAATGTGATTCTATATTGGGAGGACTATCCAAAATGAGCTTTTCTAGTCAAGTCATTTCTACACCTGGAAAAATTTGGATATATCATCTCAAGGTTAAAGTTCACAGTTACATTATTTGGTACACAAAAAACAGCTGTTACCATTTATTTCCACTAAAGATCTTGGATGTTCACAATGTACCACGCAAAATAAAATGGTAAGTCTTTGGAAAAAATAAGGTACAAATGGAAAAGAACAGAACAGAGATTTTGCTGTTACACAGTGACAAGACGCGATTTATCCAGTATAAACACACCCACTTCTCAAAGGAAATGGCTGAAAGGTTTGAAGGCATCGTAGAACTGTCCTATAGCTTCAGGAGTCTCTTGAGAGGAACCTTCAAGTGTTCTTTCTTTGCTTTACAGGCTGCCAAGAGCAATTTAAAAGAAAGGAGCTGTGTGGTTGGCCTGTTAAAGGAGGGACCGTGGGGTCTGCAGCTTTCATTTTTACTCTTTACCCTATTGCCAACTCCTTGGATGACATTAAGCAGACTCTTTCATTGCTCTATATCCCATTTCTAAAATGCAAGTGTACACATCAAGTGTCTATCTTATAGGAGCCCTATGATTCTCTCCCCAGAGCAAAAGGATTGTTTTAAAAGATAGTTATAAAAAATAAAACAGGGTCGGATAATCATCATAATCATTTGAAAAGATTCACTCCCAAACGTCTGGTCATCAAAGCATCATTTTTTGAGTTGTCAATCTAAGATATGTGGCTAGAGAGCAAAATCCCTCATTAGTGACAGTAGCAGACTTCTGCTAGTTAGGCAACACATGTGCATATCAATTTCTAAAATTACATTCTAATCTGCTTAAACCATCCCAAGAAGTAAATACTTTAGTTGAATTCAAAGTCAAGAATATTGATCAGTCTTAAAGAGGCATGAGAGCTCAGTGGAAACAACGAGACTCCATTTTAAAAAGCCAGATTCCAAACCTGATTGTTCCACTGACTAGTGCCTTAATCTCTTAGAATATCAGCAAACTTCTTAGGATCTCTTCATCTCTAAAATGACACGATATGACTACTAGAAGATGACTGAGTTCTTAAGTCATATTTATGCCAAGGTCTCCATTTTCACTTTCTTCTCCCTTTCCCTTTTTTTTATGTCACCATTGATGGTAGAAGTCCGCAAATTACATTCTCATTGTTGGCTACACAAAATATAAATGATCAAAATAGAAAAGCTTTACTGTAGAAACAAATGTAGATATGGAAATATTGTAGATACTGTACAAAAGGGCTGATATACATACACATATTTCCTAACTCTGACCACTGAGAGCATCTAGAAGCAGTGACACCCCAGTAGCAATGAGCACACCCAGCGGTCAGATCTTAGTCTCTAACATCATTCTCAAATATAAGGAACCAGGGATCCTTGGAGAAATGGCTGATTCTAGGGATGGGCCAGGGAAAATACAAGAGGAATCTGGAAGATCTTGTAATGCCAGAAAGTAAGGAAGTCCTTAAAAAAACAAAAGGATGGGGGCATGACAAAAGGATACAAGAGACAATTGGAAGACCTCCTAGTGGCCAAAGCTGGAACATCTGAGCAACAAAATAAATAAAGTAGCAATGGATTATAACCCAAAGTACTAAATAAATGTGTATCACTCCATACTGATATAAATAAGTGATTGCATTAAAAAAATAAATAAATGTAGGAGAAGAAACAAGTCTTCCTTACATAAGAATTCCAAATAACTTATGTTGATACTCGCCCCTCCAGGAGATGGAGGTTAATCACTCCACTTCCTGAGTGTGGACTGCATGTAGTGACTTGCTTCTAAAATATTGTGTGTGGAAAGGGGAGGGAGGAGTGACTTTACCTTAGCCAGAAGATCAAGGTTAACAACATCAGCCCATCAATAGCAAAGGGAGGCAGAGGAATCGTCTGGCAAGGATGAAGCAGAGGGAATCCCATGCCACCTTAGTTTAGAAGGTGAACTAGACCTTTCTAGTGCTATGCATAAAAGCATGACCCCAGACTGGATGTATATCCATTTTCTGATCTTCTCTGCTCTTAGAATGAAATTTCAACAAGAAGGAAGGAAAATATCAGTGCCACTCTAGATTGAAACCTTTTTAAAGGCAAAAGAAAGAATCTGAGGAGGATTAATAATAAAGATATGAGAGTAAGACTACAGACCTGAGTACCTGTTATACCACTTACTAACTGTGTGACCTTGGGCAAGTTATCTAACCACTCCAAGTCTCAGTTTCCTCATCTGTAAAATGGAAATAATGCCACAAATACCTGAATATTAAGAAATTCCATAGGCACTCATTTTTATAATATTGGGACACTGCTTAAACTACCTCGTGATTTAAAATAGAATAATCCCCACAATGGGACAGTCTTTGTAAAGACTCAAACATAACAGGATGCCCTCTTTCCTGAGGGCTAATTTTGGAGAAAACACTTTAATTAGAGGATGTACAACAATAGATTTTGCTTCATAAGGTTGTTTTAAAGATTTAATAATAGAAGTAAATCACAGGAATAAATTTAACCAAAGAGGTGAAAGACCTGTACACTGAAAACTATAAAACATTGTTGAAAGAAATAGAAGACACAAAGAAATGGAAAGATATTCTATGCTCATGGATTGGAAGAATTAACATAGTTAAAATGTCCATACTTCCCAAAGCAATCTACAGATTCAATGCAATCTTTATCAAAGTCCCAATGACATTTTTCACAGAAACAGAACAAAGAATCCCAAAATTTATAGGGAACAACAAAAGACTCCAAATAGCCAAAGCAATCTTGAGAAAAAAGAAAAAAGCTGAAGGTATCACACTCCCTGATTTCAAAATATACCACAAAGCCATAGCAATCAAAACAGCATGGTACTGGCACAAAAACAGAAACACAGATCAATGGAACAGAATTAAGAGTCCAGAAATAAACCCACACATCGATGGACAGCTAAATTTCAACACGGGAGCCAAGAACATACAATGGAGAAAGGAAAGTCTCTTCAATAAACAGTGCTGGGAAAACTGGGCAGCCACATGCAAAAGAATGAAAGTAAGGCCATTATCTTACACCATACACAAAAATTAACTCAAAATGGATTAAAGGCTTGAATTTAAGACATTAAACCATAAAACTTCTAGAAGAAAACATAGGCGGTACGCTCTTTGACATTGGTCTTAGCAGCAACTTTTTAAATACCATGTCTCACCAGGCAAGGGAAACAAAAGAAAAAATAAACAAATGGGACTACATCAAACTAAAAAGCTCCTGCAAAGCAAAGGAAACCATCAATGAAATGAAAAGATATTTGCAAACCATATATCTGATAAGGGATTAATATCCAAAATATATAAAGAACTCATACAACTAAACAATGAAGAAACTAACAACCCAATTAAAAAGTGGGCAAAGGATCTGAACAGACATTTTTCCAAAGAAGATAAACAGATGGCCAATAGGCACATGAAAAGATGTTTAACATCGCTAATTATTAGGGAAATGCAAATCAAAAGTACAATGAGATATCACCTCACACCCATCAGAATGGTTATAATTAACAAGACAAAAAGTAACAAGTGTTGGAGAAGATGTGGAGAAAAGGGAACCCTCATACACTGCTAGTGGGAGTGCAAACTGGTGGAGCCACTATGGACAACAATATGGAGATTCCTCAAAAGATTAAGACTAGATCTACCATATGATCCAGCTATTCCGCTTCTGGGTATTTATCCAAA